CTGGCACGTGCCATGGCCATGTCCTGCGACGTCCTGACACGAACGGACCCGTGCCATGGCCATGTCCTGCCATGTTCTGCGACGTCCTGACACGTCCTGCGATGTCCTGACACGTGCCATGGCCATGTCCTGCGACGTCCTAAAACGTTCTGCGTCGTGCCATGGCCACGCCCTACCATGTCCTATGACGTCCTGACATGTCCTGCGCCTTGACATGGCCACGCCCTGCCATGTCTTACGATTCCCTGCCATGGCCACACCGTCATAGTCCTTGGACTCTCAAGCGACACCCCAAAAAACCTCTACTTGCGACATAGAATTGGCACATTGCTCTTGGCTTGTGCCTTGGCCTCGCACCGCGATGCCTCAAAAAACCTCTACTTGACAACTTGTATTAGCACATCACCCTTGGCTTAGGCCTCAGCCTCGCAAGCGACACACCGAAAAACCTCTACTTGCGGCATTATATTGGCACATTTCCCTTGGCATAGGCCTCGGCCTTGAAAGCGACACACCGAAAACCTCTAGTAGTGAAATTTGGTTTAACCTTTCGCTCGACATGACTAAGTGTCAAGTCACATTGGCTACTTAATACAGAAATAGTATACGTTCCAAGGTCTTGAGGACTTGTTCGATTTTCCAACACTTAGTATAATATAGCATCAAGGGAGGAGTAAACCTCTTTTCGGAAAAGTTTGAAACTGATTGGATTGGAGGGAGAGGGACGAATCGGAGCGACAAAGGGCTGAATCTCAGTGGATCATGGCAGAAAGGCCACTCTGCCACTTACAATACCTCATCGCGTATTTAAGTCATCTGCAAAGGATTATACCCGCCACTTGATGGAAATTGTACTTCAAGGCGGCCACTGCGGCTATTCCACTGCGATGACTTAGCCAACGACATGTGCCCTTGGGGGCCAAAGGCCCCTACTGCGGGCCGAAAAACGGACAGCGGGCGCATGCATCGCTTCTAGCCCGAATTCTGACTTAGAGGCGTTCAGTCATAATCTAGCGCACGATAGCTTCCCGCCACTGGCTTTTTAACTAAGCGTGATGACCAATTGTGCAAATCAACGGTTCCTCTCGTACTAGGTTGAATTACTATTGCGACACTATCATCAATAGGGTAAAACTAACCTGTCTCACGACGGTCTAAACCCAGCTCACGTTCCCTATTGGTAGGTGAACAATCCAACACTTGGTGAATTCTACTTCACAATGATAGGAAGAGCCAACATCGAAGGATCAAAAAGCAACGTCGCTATGAATACTTGGCTGCCACAAGCTAGTTATCCTTGTGGTAACTTTTCTGACACCTCTAGCTTCGAATTTCGAAAGTCTAAAGGATCGTTAGGCCACGCTTTCACGGTTCGTATTCGTACTGGAAATAAGAATCAAACGAGCTTTTACCTTTCTATTCCACACGAAATTTCTGTTCTCATTGAGCTCATCTTAGGACACCTGCGTTATCTTTAAACAGATGTGCCGCCCCAGCCAAGCTCCCCACCAGATAATGTATTCCACCCGGATTGGCTTGCAAGCAAGCCTTGGGTCTAAAACGAGGGGTAGTGCCCCGCTTCCGATTCACGGAATAAGTAAAATATCGTTAAAAGTAGTGGTATTTCACTTTCTCCTTTCGGCTCCAACTTATACTACACCTCTCAAGTCATTTCACAAAGTCGGACTAGAGTCAAGCTCAACAGGGTCTTCTTTCCCTGCTGATTCTGCCAAGCCCATTCCCTTGGCTTTGGTTTCACTGGATAGTAGATAGGGACAGTGGAAATCTCGTTAATCCATTCATGCGCGTCACTAATTAGATGACGAGGCATTTGGCTACATTAAGAGAGTCATAGTTACTCCTGCCGTTTACCCGCACTTGGTTTAATTTCTTCATTTTGACATTCAGAGCAGTAGGTAGAAATCACATTGCATAAACATCCGCAGGGACTATCGCAATGCTTTGTTTTAATTAAACAGTCGGATTTCCCTTGTCCGTACCAGTTCTGAGTTGGTTGTTCGACAACCGGGGAAGGCACCCGAAGGAACCATTCCCAGTCCGTCCCCCGGCCGGCATGCGGCGATCCGCTCTCACCGACGGGTTCGGGACATACCCTCGTGCCCAGCCCTCAGAGCCAATCCTTTTCCTGAAGATACGGATCCATTTTTCCGACTTCCCTTTCCTACATTATTCCATCGACCATAGGTTGTTCACCTTGGAGACCTGATGCAGTTATGAGTACGACCGGGCATGGACGGCACTCGGTCCAGGGTGCGTAGGCTATTAAACTGAAAAGATAACTCTTCCCGAGGCCCCCGCCGACGTCTCTGGACTTCCTAACATTGCCGTCAATCACCACGTCCTGGTTCAAGATTTTTAACCTGATTCCCTTTCAGGGTACGCATGAAACGCGCTATCTGTCGGGGTTCCCCCGACCCTTAGCATCGACTAACCTATATGCAAGTGCCGTTCACATGGAACCTTTCCCTTCTTTGGCCTTGAATGTTCTCACTTGAATATTTGCTACTACCACCAAGATCTACACCGACGGCCGCTCCACCCAGGCTCACGCCCAAGGTTTTGTAGTGACCGCCGCGCCCTCCTTCTCATCAGGGCCTGGAACTTGCCCCGACCGCTGGGTGTAGGTCGCGCACTTAAGCGCCATCCATTTTCGAGGCTAGTTTATTCGGTAGGTGAATTGTTACACACTACTTAGCGGATTTCAACTTCTATGACCACCGTCCTGCTGTCTTAATCGACCAACACCCTTAGTGGGATCTAGATTAGCGCACAGTTTGGCACCATAACTCGGCTTCCGGTTCATCCCGCATCGCCAGTTTTGCTTACCAAAAATGGCCCATTTGGAGCTCTTGATTCTGTGGCGCGGCTCAACAAAGCAGCCACGCCGTCCTACCTATTTAAAGTTTGAGAATAGGTCGAGGGCGTTGTGCCCCCGATGCCTCTAATCATTGGCTTTACCCAATAGAACTCGCATGCGAGCTCCAACTTTCTTGAGGGAAACTTTGGAGGGAATCAACTACTAGACGGTTCGATTAGTCTTTCTCCCCTATACCCAAGTCAGACGAACGATTCTCACGTCAGTATCACTATGGGCCTCCACCAGAGTTTCCTCTGGCTTCGACCCCTCAGGCATAGTTCACCATCTTTTGTGTCCCGACAGGTCTGCTCACACTCGAACCCTTCACAGAAGATCAAGGTCGGTCGGTGGTGCACCCCTCAGGGGGATCCTACCAATTATCTTCCTTACGCTTTACGAGTTTACTCGCTTGTTGACTCGCATACATTTCAGACTCCTTGGTCAATGTTTCAAGATGGGTCGAATGGGGAGCCTACAGGCCAGCGTCTGGAGCGCGTAGATGACAAAGCACACCAGAGGCACGCGTTGCCTACCACAATCAAGTAGATAGAGTTCCACGAGCATATAAAAATCCCGGGCTTTGACCTCTCCCCCAGTCCACGCTGGTCCACGCCCCGAGTCGATCGGTTGACCAGCTCAACACTGTTCCACATCCGACCGGGGCATAACTCCGGCCCCATCCGCTTACCTCCCGACAATTTCAAGCACTCTTTGACTCTCTTTTCAAAGTCCTTTTCATCTTTCCCTCACGGTACTTGTTCGTTATCGGTCTCTCGCCTGTATTAAGATTTAGACAGAATTCACCGCCCGATTTGGGCTACATTCCTAAACAACCTGACTCGTAGACAACGCCTCATGGTGTGATAGAATCCGGGCATAATGGGGCTCTCACCCTCTTTGGCGCCCCCTTCCAGGGGACTTGGGCCCGGTCCACCGCTGAGGAAGCTTCTCTAGACTACAATTTGGACGACGGAGCCGACTGATTCTAAGGCTGGGCTGTTCCCAGTTCGCTCGTTATTACTAGGGGAATCATTCAATCGGTAGGAGCAACGACTTCTAGGGGAACCACCGCGATCCGAATGTTTTACTAGGGGAACCACCGCGATCCGAATGTTTTACTAGGGGAACCACTGCGATCCGAATGTTTCACTAGATCATTCAATCGGTAGGATCAACGAGCGGTGTGTACAAAGGGTAAGGACATAGTCAATGCGAGCTGATGACTCGCGCTTACTAGGAGTTCCTCGTTGAAGACCAACAAATGCAATGATCTATCCCCATCACGATGAAATTTCAAAGATTACAAGGGCATATCGGCCAAGCCTATAAAATCGGTGAATACAACAGTGTAGCGCGCGTGTGTCCCAGAACATCTAAGGGCATCATAGACCTGTTATGGCCTCAAACTTCCGCGGCCTAAAAGGCCGTAGTCCCTCTAAGACGCCGACCGCGAAGGGATACCTCCGCATAGCTAGTTAGCAGGCTGAGGTCTTGTTCGTTAACGGAATTAACAAGAAAAATCACTTCACCAACTAAGAACGGCCATGCACCACCACCCATAGAATCAAGAAAGAGCTCTCAGTCTGTCAATCCTTACTATGTTTGAAGCTGGTAAGTTTCCCCGTGTTAAGTCAAATTAAGTCGCAGGCTCCACTCCTGGTGGTGCCCTTCTGTCAATTCCTTTAAGTTTCAGCCTTGTGACCATACTCCCCCCGGAACCCAAAAACTTTGATTTCTCATAAGGTGCTGGCGGAGTCCTAAAAGCAACATCGGTCGATCCCTGGTCGGCATTGTTTATGGTTGTGACTAGGACGGTATCTGATCGTCTTCGATCCCCCAACTTTCGTCCTTGATTTATGAAAATATCCTTGGCAAACTCTTTTGCACTTGTCCGCTTTTCATAAATCTAAGAATTTCACCTCTTACTATTAAATACGAATGCCCCCGACTGTCCCTGTTAATAATTACTCTGATCCCGAAGGCCAATTTAATAGGACTGAAATCCTATAATGTTATCCCATGCCAATGTATACAGAGCATAGGCTTGCTTTGAGCACTCTAATTTCTTCAAAGCAATAGCACCGGAGGCACGACCCGACCAATTAAGTCCAGGAGCGCATCACCGGCAGAAGGGACGAGACGACCGGTGCACACCTAAGGCGGACCGGCCGGCCCATCCCAAAGTCCAACTACGAGCCTTTTAACTGCAACAACTTAAATATACGCTATTGGAGCTTGAATTACTGCGGCTGCTGGCACCAAACTTACCCTCCAATGGATCCTCGTTAAGGAATTTAGATTGTACTCATTCCAATTACCCGACTCATAGAGCCCGGTATTGTTATTTATTGTCACTACCTCCCCGTGTCAGGATTGGGTAATTTGTGCGCCTGCTGCCTTCCTTAGATGTGGTATCCATTTCTCAAGCTCCCTCTCCGGAATCGAACCCTAATTCTCCGTCACCCGTCACCACCATGGTAGGCTACTATCCTACCATCGAAAGTTGATTGGGCAGAAATTTGAATGATGCATTGCCGGCACGATGGCTGTGCGATCCATCGAGTTATCATGAATCATCGCAGCAACGAGCAGAGCCCGCATCGACCCTTTATCTAATAAATATCCCTTCCAGAAGTCGGGGTTTGTTGCACATATTATCTCTTGAATTACTACGGTTATCCGAGTAGTAGATACCATCAAACAAACTATAACTGATTTAATGAGCCATT